CATAGCATACAAAAGAACACTGGTAGTTGGATATAATAATCACGCAACTGTAACGTTACATTTTATGGCCTTCAATTAGGTTAAAATAAACAGAATTTAACCTTCGTGTAACGTTACATTTTATGGCCTTCAATTAGGTTAAAATAAACAGAATTTAACCTTCGTGTAATGTTAATTTTCATTTCTATGTATTTTCACGGAAATAGTTATCAGAACTACATTTTAATCGATCAACATAAGTTTTAATGTAATTCATATTCACTTACTTTCACATTACTTACCGACATAACTCTTACTAAAATGTTCCCTGGAGGTTCAGCGGTAAGCTTGATGACATATAACACTAAAATTCGAGCCCCGAATTTTAGCGTTATTCGTAGTTCGATCCCTTCCGTGGACACATTGCAAGAAGCTCGTTGTACGCCTTTATATTCAAAATAAACAACAACAGCTTGATAAAGTTAACCTCTAATTAAATTTATCATAGTTTGTAATTAGCTTTTTTTAAAAGAATTATTTGAATGGCATATGCTGTTTTTTACGTTTAGAAATTTCACAACTTTTAGTAATTAACCATATAAACAAATGCGAAAAAAAGGGTGTAGTTATTTGAATTTCGACTCTCTTTTAAATTGATTTCTTTACTTCGAAGTGATGAATGATGGTTCCTTTTCAGAGAAATTCAATGAAATGTCACGTTATTCATGAGGTTCCTGCTTCTAAATGAAGTTGACTAACAAAATTCACATCTCTTTCTTCCTGTTAATTAAAACTTTGATGTATTAAATAAACTTCTCTTTCGTTTTTCTTATTCTGATAATTAAAGCAGTAAAGATCTTATTAGCTCTTATCTGAAATAAAATCCTAGTTGACACACTTTATTACCTTACCCGAAATCTAATTAAAAAACAAAACCTGAGGGAAATAACACATTATCGCCTCCCCTAAAAATATTTGAACAGTTTTGATGGACCTACATAATCGTGCAGTCAGTAATTAATGTGTGAAAGTTTAACATTTAGAGTTTTAAGAACATTTGATCTACAAAAAATATTATTTAAAAATATTGTTTGTTTTTTGAATTTCGCGCAAAGCTACACGAGGGCTATCTGCGCTAGCCGTCCCTAATTTAGCAGTGTAAGACTAGAGGGAAGGCAGCTAGTCATCACCACCCACCGCCAACTCTTGGGCTACTCTTTTACCAACAAATAGTGGGATTGACTATCACATTATAACGCCCTTACGGCTGAAAGGGCGAGCATGTTTGGTGGGACGGGGATTCGAACCCGCGACCCTCAGATTGCGAGTCGAGCGCCCTAACCACCTGGCCATGCTTTTAAAAATATATTCTTGTTTGGTTTTCAGCAGTATTGGAGATTTTAAAATTTGGCTAAAGATTGTTATTATTTGAAGTTAAGTACAAAGCTACACAAATATAAATCCCAAAATCAAAGTTTGATTAAACAACAGGAACAACAGTGTTATTTTGCAATAAAAAAATCCACCTTTTTCATTGTAAGGGGCAAAACACATCGATAATAGCAAAATAATCTTGACATTAGAGTTTGTTTGTTTGTAATTAAGCACAAAGCTACACAATGGGCTATCTGTGCTCTGCCCACCACAAGTATCGAAACCCGGTTTCTAGCGTTGTAAGTCCGCAGACATACCGCTGTGCCACTAGGGGGCCTTTAAGAGTGTGTTTGTTTGTTTGTTTGAAGTTATGCACAAAGCTACACAATGGGCTATCTGTGCTCTGCCCACGATGGGTATCGAAACCCTGTTTCTGGGGGCTTGGCTAAAGAAGTCAAACTATATATAAATCACCCGTAAACGATTTTTAGTATTTCTATCCTTTGGTGACAGACAACTCATGAACTAACATACTAAAACATTTACGATTATAGGTTGTTAAATTACATTATTTGTTCCAGAAGTTTCGCGCATAGCTTCGCAAAGGTTTATCTGTGCATAGCTGGGCCTAATTTTGAATTCACTTTTAGATAGAGATTAGCTAGCCGACAGCGCCCACCTTCGATTCTTTGGTTTCTCTTATAATGTACCTACAACCCCAAAGTGGGGAGCGCGTTTTTTGTGGCAACGGGCCACGATCAATCAATCCTCGAATTCACCGTCCGAACACGCTAATCATTAGGCTATGTCCAGTCTCTCGCTTTTTATATATAATACTTTTTCCCTATTTACCACAAGTAATAAATCAGCGAATTAAAGAAAGTCTAGCCATTTTAAATATAAACTTCTAATACCTTATAAGTAAATTAAACAAATAAATTAACACGCATTTTTACATCTCTGTTTTGCGTTACAGGGTCGAATGAGCGTTTGTTCTTCTGTAATAAAAGCATTTGGAAAGAAGAGTTGACATGCTGACAATTATATATATATATATATATATATATATACACTATGGTATTTAGTTGCAAAAATCTACCAAATGGAATATACTAAAAACTGAAATAGTTCAATATTCTACCAGTATCTACATATAGAACAGATAACTAAAACTAAGGTATAAACTATAGATTGGGAATGGCAGAATGCTTCCTAATAAAAAAGATCGTGGAGTAGTCAACAGGGAATTGTAATCTAAATACAACAGAATATTTCTGGAACCTCGAAGGATGACGAAGACATCAACGCCCCCAACAAGCGACGTCAGAGAGCTTATTATTACAGTGGCTAAAGAATGAAACAGTATTTTTTTTTATAACGTCAACTACCAGCTTATTAGAAGTAGGCCCCAAAGATATAGATACTGTATCAATGCTGGGGCGGGGGTGGGGGAGAGGAGGATAATTGTTACTGAATATCACTTATTGTCAAATGTGGCTCTTTAAGAGTTGATTCAATCAAACTCACTTTGAAAATTTGAAGCTGTTTTCCACTGTCCTTCTCGATAAGCACTTTTGGACATTTACTGCCCGCCATTTCATTCGTTTTGTTGCGTTTATGCTGTATGGTGAAAGAAAGACAATCGGATATGCGAATTTGTTCGAAGTATTTTCTTGGAATATTTAATGACATTAAATCACACGTACTCTTAACATAACCAAACTAAGCTGATAGCACATAACTTGTCTATTTCTTTGCTTTCCAATGTATGTTGTAAACAGATAGATAGATACTAGCGTTTATACAAAGTCATGCGAGCTCAAAGTTCTTCTAAAGTACAAACTATAAATTGGGTTGGGAGCTCGACTCGTAATCTGCGGGTCGCCCAAACATGCTCGCCCTTTCAGCCGTGGGGGCGTTATTATGTGACAGTCAATCCCACTATTAGTTGTTAAAAGAGTAGCCCGAGAGTTGGCGGTGGGTGGTGATGACTAGCTGCCTTCCCTCTAGTCTTACACTGCTAAATTAGGGACGGCTAGCGCAGATAGCCCTCGTGTAGCTTTGCGCGAAATTCAAAAAACAAACAAACAAACTATAAATTGGGAATGGTAGAAGAAACTAAAATTCATATGTATGTCTAAGTTCATTTCGAAACTTGTTATATCACTATTGGGATTTTTATTATAATTGTAGGTGTTGTAAATTAGACCTTCTTGAAACTTTTTTTATAATTCATAAATTTTAAAAAAAAGGTATGTTTGATGACTTGACGTGTCGCTTGTTTCAGTTTTAGAGAACCGAAACGTAATTGCAAGGTTAGATTTATAACTACCCCTACTTAATAAATTCTTTACCTTCTTTCTGTAGAATGAAGGCAACTTGTGAAGACATACTCCTTCATTATCTCCATCCCAACGAATTCATTGACTCCCCGGAGTGGGAAGCCTGTACCTTAGACAGCGATAGACTTTTCCAGGTAAAGAAAGGTTTGTGGTTACAGGTCGTAATGTCAGCATTCTGAAGAATTGACATTCCGGCACAATATGGGTTTCTTTTTTTTCACACAAATATATATATATGTCATTTTTATGACGTAAGAGATGTATTCATTTCGCCGGTTTAAACGTCCCACATGGTACTTAGAAAGCGCAGCATTAAGATTATTTATTATTCATTGTACTTATATTTGTAGAATTTTAGCAGCTCTTCTGATGGAAATTCTTACGTAATAGTAAAAAAATCCAATAACCCAGAGTACAATCAAGATAAGCCTTTCTTCGCTAGGGAGAAACAATGAGGCTGTTGTTGCGCTATAAGGTTAACCCTCAAACCCTAATGTTCAGTCGGACAAAACAAGTGTAAACCAAGAGTTGGCGGTGGGTGCTTTTAAATAGTTGCCTTCTCTCTTGCATATCAATTCAAAATTATAGATATCTACATGCGGATACCCCATTTTTAGCTTACTGCGAAAATTCTAAACACATTAAGCCACATTGGGCTATCTTTTCTGTCCACCGCGGGAAATCAAACCCCGGATTTAATGTTGCAAGTCCTTAAACCTATCGTTGTCCCACCGGGGGACAATTTTTTTAGATCAAAACTATTATAGCAACGTGTTTCTCAGACAATCCATATAACTTCTGCCTATAATAAGCGTCATCAGCTGAAGAAACTCTCTTTCCTTCTTTAGTTTTAAGTAATTTATCAGAAACTAATTTGCCCCCCAGTGGCACAGCGGTGTGTCTGCGGACTTACAATGCTAGAATTCGGGTTTCGATACCCATGGTGGGCAGAGCACAGATAGCCCATTGTGTAGCTTTGTGCTTTATTACAAACAAGCAAACAAGAAACTAATTAATAAACCAAAACACTTCACATTGAGTAATTTCTAATTTAATGAAAAGTCCTGACTCACACCTCCTTGACAATAAGGACCGTCTCCATCTGACGTAAAATTTAACGTTCCTGTAAAAAATTCCAGTAAAAAAATAGCATAAATTTCTCACTTTCTATCTAAAAGTATAAATAAACAAATACAGATGAAATTAAGCAAACAAAATGGTCATTGTTCGTTGCGTTTTTTTTTTATCTATTATAGCTTTAGAAAGTTTTGAACGCTCAGCTGCTCTCGCCTCGTTTCAGTACTACCGGTATAGCACCATGCAATTTGTACAAGATCCTGGTGCTAGGTATTTGACAGCCTGACAGGGAAGCTTCTTACATTTATCGAACTTTCATTCCCCGCATATGCAACTGCTGGCATATGCATGTAACACGTGCCCTGGACGTCATTTGGGGACTGCTCTACTTGACTCCGTGTAACTATTGTGCTCACCCTTGTACTCTAATGTTCGCCCCCCCCCCAGTGGCAGAGCGGAATGTCTGCGGACTTACAAAGCTAGAATCCGGGTTTCGATACCCATGGTGGGCAGAGCATAAATAGCCCATTGTGTAGCTTTGTGCTTAATTACAAACAAACAAACTCTAATGTCAATATTATTTTGCTATTATCGATGTGTTTTGACCCTTACAATGAAAAAGGTGGATTTTTTTTATTACAAAATAAATTCAGCACATTAACATTGTTGTACGTGTGCTTAATTAAACTTTGATTTTGTTATTTGTATTATATTTGCAACAAAAAAAGTTTCTTCACACAGTTTCACGGTTTCGTTTCCTAATAATCAAGATTCAATAAGAATGTCCGAATTCTGTGAATGGCGTGTCACAATCAATTTTGCTTTAAAATATCCCGACCATCAGAGGCGTCGCTAAATATTTAAAAGATTCGGGGCGCAGGAATTTTCGGCGTTTCAGTATGATATCGAGCATGATTTTTTCTTCTGATTTATTCAAGACATCAACTGGATATTTGGGGCACTATCAAATATAATCGGGAAATGGGACCTGTATACCAATGCCTAGCAACGCTTCTACCGACCGCGAAAATAATCTACAGTTTTATTAATCCCCAGCCCTCCAGTGGCACAGCGGTATGTCTGCGGAATTACAACGCTAGAAACCGTGTTTCGATACTCGTGATGGGCAAAGCACAGATATCCCATTGTGTAGCTTTGTGCTTAACTTCAAACAAAGAAACGTTAACCGTGGGGGTCAGTGGGGGATACATGCCCCAAAATTTTTTGACATGGTAGCAAAGTACCCATTTGGATGGAGAATAGAGACTTGTGCATCATTATCGGGGAAAGTCTCTGTTTGAACTTTGAATTCAATGGTCATGGTTAGCATAAATACTTGGATGCCCCCACCAAAAAAAAAAGCAAATCAAGTTTGTTTCGCCACCCATACTAGTCACGCATTCATCACAACAACAACAACGAGAAGGTTTGTAGAATGAATTATACGAATTTTTACTGATGTTCTCTTGGGTGTATATAGTTTCCTACAAATGCAGACAACTGATAACTGAACAGAGGGAATTCTTTGCCTGAAATTTAGACAGATCGAAGTACTAAATTATGTTAGATAGTTCAAACTAATTTGTCCTAATGAGGTGTTAATACATACGGCAGGCAGATTTTTGGAGGTGTTGTGATTCTCTGCTGATAGTATGACTTTTCACTGTTTTCCAGTCAACATTATTTCACTTATGTAATATTTTAAGTTATGGAGGTCATTGCAAGTATCTCGAATGTAAATGAAAATAAACTCCACAAAGGCTTATTTCGTATACTAAGAAAAAGTTATATTTAACTTTCTTTTCTTTTTTTTTTCATTGTCTTAACGAAAAAGCAAATAAAAACAAATGAGACTCCAAACTAAAATATTTTGAAATATAACTGATGAGTTAGAATAATATGAAAATTCAGCAAAACCGAAAAAAAGGGAATATGATGTTAAGGGGCTATCGAAACATTGCAGATGAATGACAAGGTGGTAAGGGTTCAATAAATTCTTAAGTTTTTTTTTCTGCGTCAAACATAAATTTCATAATGGACTATCTATGCTCTTCGACCGCAAATATCGAAATACAATTTATAGTGTTATAAGCCCTCAGAGTTATCGCTTAGCCACCGAGGGGACAATTTTTGAGGTAAATGTAAAGAATTTTCATTGAACGTTGGTGAACTCTTATGCCAACGCATCAATGAAATTGTTAATGTGGTTTACTAACATACATGACTCATGAACACATGAACACTTCGTGAAAAGAAGAAACAGAGTTTTAAATAATGAAAGGAATTGAACATGATTGAAGCTGAAAACAGGAAAGATTGTACGGAGCAGTACTTTTCAGCTGGGAATTAGTTTGGTGTGTAATTGTTGCGAATTTCTTTTGAATTAAAAAATAAGGACATTTTATAAGACATACACAAAAAATTGGGACACGTAGACAAAGATTAAGTATCAATTGTTTCGGTACACGCCGATATAAAACAGCACTGTCTCGTACGAATCTGGCCCAATGGTTACCTTAATTATGGGGAACACGAACACCCGCTTTATATTCAATATGAACCAAGAATTTTAACCCTTAAGTTTTATATCAAAGAAATATTTCAGTGATTGACAATGTTGTTCCAGCAATTTTTTTAATCAATTAATTAACATTAAATGTTCTGACACAATTAGCTTATATGAGACACAATCGAGTCACAATTGCCCATTTTTTGCTTTCGTGTCGTCGTTACGATTGCAAACAACGGCACTATTTTAAACATGTTTAACTCAGGGCTTACCCCTGACATTGGGCAGTGTCATTGACTATGGTGACACTGTTCAGTTTGTTTATGTTTTTCAATTTTTACGAATCATTGACCTTTAAATTTATTTCATTTTCCTTCCTATTGTTGGACATTGTTTAACTTTTAACTTCTTTCCTTTTTACTTTTTATAGTGTTTTACTTCCTTTTACCTTTTTAACGGTTCTTTGGCACGTATAGCTTAGCTGTTTTGCGCCATTAATCCCCAAACAACCAAGCAACTAGACGGCTAGCACAAGTAGCTCTCTTGTAACTTTGAGCAAAAATCAAACACAAATATACTCTGCTTCATTGCTTCCAAAAGCTTTGGATAAAAATAAGTACAAACCGATAAGACGTACCGATTTACCTTCGGGGTAATCGGGTAAGATCCACAGAATATTCGACAAAAAAGATTACCTTCCATGTCATTAAGAAGAAAAGGTAAAACAATGTCTCTACATATACTTGCTTTTGAAAATTGATGATTTGAAAGTTATCAAAACAAAAGCCAAATTTACATATGGCACACTAATCGGTTATTAATATTTAGGGTAATGTCACATATGTTACATTCATGCACAAAACACGAAATAACCACTATATTATCATACGGAAGGGTAGAGTCAGTGATTTGCATAATTGAAGTTGGAAAAGCAGCCTAGGCTACTACTTAATTTAGTCAAACAAACTTTCTAAGGAGGTGTCAGGTTTTTTTTTGTTTTTTTTTATTGGAAACAGTCATTTGGAGAATGACTGTCCTTTGCCCTCACCAGAACTTTTTCTGATCTGATGGCTTCAAACAATGCCTTCACACCACCTTCTCCTTCAGTTATGATGGTGGATCGGTGTTTCAACTGGCAGTATTCTTCCCTGCCTGGGTCTATCACACGTGATACCATAAGTGAATGACCCAGAACAATAGTTGTAACTACGACAAAATGAATTTAGCTACATCTTTTACCAATGTTCTGTAACAAAATGTTGAAATATTTTGTGTGTTAAACAAGGAGACAGAAAACATGTAGTGTGTCTATATATTACAACCAACAGTAGATTTTTAAGACTTGTTTTGTAGTTTTCATCATATTTTTGGTAGACACTCAAGGATGATAATAAATCAGGGAACAATGACTTGAGGTTTGTAAATATAGAAACAGTTAAACACTGCCCAAAGCAATTAAAGAATAACTGTTAGTTATGTAATGTATATCTTAGCTATTCCAAGGCACAATTACTGTCATAAGTAACTGTAAGTCATACTCCACTTCAT